AGGAAAGGAAAGGAAAAGGAAAGGAAAGGAAAGGAAAGGAAAGGAAAGGAAAGGAAAGGAAAAGGAAAGGAAAAGGAAAAGGAAAGGAAAGGAAAGGAAAGGAAAAGGAAAGGAAAGGAAAGGAAAAAGGAAAGGAAAAAGGAAAGGAAAGAAAGAAGGAAGGAAGGAAGGAAGAAAGGAAAAGAAAGAAAAGAAAAGAAAAAAGAAAAGAAAAGAAAAGGTGCTGCCATGATGGCTCAGAGGTTAAGAGCACTGGCTGTTCTTCTAAAGGTCCTGAGTTCAGTTCCCAGCAACCACATGGTAGCTCACAACCATCTGGTGCCCTGTTCTGGCACCCCAGTATACATGCAGACAGAACACTCAATATATAATAAATAAATCTTAAAGAAAAAAAGAAAGAGAGAGGAAAAATAAAGAAGAGAGCATGAAATTTCAGGGAGACCTAGGAAGTTAAAAAGATGAGTAGGGAATAAATATAATCAACACACATGCATGTATAAAATTCTGAAAGAAAAATATATATTTAAAAATTGATCATAGACTAATATACCATTTAATGGAAAAGCGTAAGGATTTTTGTTGATATTTTTCTCTTAAAAAGACTTTTTTGTAGCTATTATCACAGATTGACAACTATCACAAAGCAATGATCAATAATAATACTAGACAGTTCTAGAAAACATATTTTGTTCTATTGTTGTATTCTTCAAGAAAAGAAGCTGGGCTCCCTGAATTCATGTGTGAAGATAAGAAGAGGGCATGAACTAGATTATCTTAACAGAAATCAAGGTTGGTCACATGACTGTTGAGGGGTTGGTGAGAATAACAACCCCTTCAAAGCAAGATCTTCCAAAAACGGAGAGAACACACAGTGAGTTATCCAAACTCAGCATGTCCTAGAAAGCTGAAAGGACATTCAAAAATGGAGAACAACATCATCATCAAGTCAGAGTTACACTAATTTCTCTAGGATTAAGAAAAAATGTCTGTAAATTAGTCCAGGATAGGTGAAGTGTGTGCATACACAAATGTTAACGGCTAATTCTGAAAACAAAAGATGTTACATATTAACGAGCTGGCTGGTTAGACTCTCTAGAGACCAGGAGTCCCTTGAGCACCCAAATGAAAAGATATTGCTATGTTAAATGACCTTCTACTGAACACTTGCAGACTAGCTGTCAGCACCTCCCACCTCAGACATGAGTGTCAGAGTAATGACGGCAGTCCAGAACCTCCAGCGTGCAGATACTCCTGAGGACCTAGCTCCAGAAATAGTGTATCTTACAAGGATTTGGATGCCCAGGCTCTGTATTTTGGATTACTGGCTGGAGGTCTTAGTAAGTTGTTCTTGCTTATTAACTTACTTACTATCCTTGTCCTTCCAGTCAGTACAAAAAAACAAGTATTCAAAACAATACAAAACAACCCACCTACCTAAAACCAGAGGACAAAGACTCACTTTTTGGACCTGCTTTTCATTTTTATCTGGGAAGCCAAGGTAAGAGGTCTCACAACCTTAGTTTGAGAGCACTGTGTCTTTTGTCTGCTTCCTGGCCTCTCCTGGCATGGGAAAGCCATGTATTGACAGCGCTTATTCCTCAGGAAGAAAACTAATTTCATGTTTCAGACTCTTGGATATGATGCTTATGAACATTTGCAGGCATAAGTAATTCTAAAGCCCGAAGTATAATTCTAAACCTAAAGTACTCTAATTTTATTAATGATGACAAAATTACCCCACATTTTTATGTGATAACATTGTGATAAATTTTGTTAAAATGTCATTTCATATAATTGATAAAACTGAGGAAATATAGAACTATTTTACCAACACACATATAAGATAAATTATATTTTATCCATCTATAAAATTAACAAAGACTAAAAAAAATGAAACCAAAAACATTATAGTGACATTTACAATTTAGTGTTAAAGTGATACTGGTAACAAAAGACACAAAAATGTAAACTTTTGTATTTTAAGTTTCATTCTAGAAAATATATGCTATAACTGTAGCTAAAAGGAGATGTGTTGTTTTTAAGTGTGAGAGATAAAGAGGTGAGAGGGAGCAAGAGGGAGAGGAGGAGGCATAGAAAAGGAAGGGTAAACACAGAAAGGTAGCAAAGACCTTAACTTGGGACCCTGAGACCCTGGAGACCAAGGCATGTGAAGGAAGCATTTCTCTGCAATGCTCACTGTGGACCTGAGCCTCCCGGGAGGTTTCCCTCTACTTATCCAACATCAATTGCAGCCCCGCCCCTGCTATGAAATGAGAACTGTCTTCAGACATTGGCGCGTATCTTGAAACAGGAACAATCTTAAGAATCACTGGTTTAAAATCCATGCTCTCAAATTTTTGAGAACATATGAAGAAGTTCATATTTTAAACATGATCTTTTTTTTTTAAGTCTCTTTGCCTTATCTGGGGAGTGATTTTATTATGTCAACATTCTTGATGCCAATCACCATGTATTTACTAGTAGAAGAGATTCCAGCAGGTCTCCAGTAAACACAATACAAAGCCTAGTACACATGCTCTCTTGTCACCCTTTATACTCTGAATACCTCATAAGAAGGGCTTTTGTATCCAACATGATTTCAGCTGATTCCTATGTAACACTTTGAGTCACATAGTCTTCATGTAATTAAACAATTTTAATTCTTTTTCATCACTTTATTTCTCTCTGTCCTTTAAAGAATTTAATCACTCAAAAATAGAAATTGAATAGAAAAATGAAAACAAAAAATTATCCAATTTATCCCTGCATTACAGTGACACAAAATAAAGTCTTTTCAGTAAAGATAAAGTGATGCTAAGACTCAAGAAAACAACACAGAATGCAAGGTGAAGATGGAAATAAGCAGAACTTTCAGAGTTTAGAGAAGAAAATGAACATAAACTACATTAAATATAAATCCAGAAAGAAACCATGGCTAGCTGTGAAGGCTCAGGGATATACACAGGGTAACCCATTGACATCATACATCATTATTTTAAACCTTAGGAGTTTTAGTTGTGTAACACTATAGAATCATCATTCTCATACCATAAAATTGCAGGCTCAGTTAACCACAGGCAAACACAGGAACACCATTCTTATAGGAAATACTATTGCAAGTTTACTAATTGACTACCAGTTATCTAAATTAAGAGATAACAGATAAAACAGACCTAAGTTGTTGCAACTTACTTTAAACAAGGTACATTATCACGAAGCCCATCGGATGAGCTGCTACTGGTAGATGGATGAGACTGAGGAGGAATGGGCTGAGGGTTGGAGCTGCCCACGGGAGTGGACAAAGGTGGCGGCTGCTCACCCTCTGGCGTTTCCACATCATTTATTTCATATAACAGTCGAACTTCAAGCATCTGTCATAAAAGAATGGCTGTTTACCTATTCCTAATAATTAATACTCATTGTATTATAATGTACCAGAAAGAATATTTTTAAAAGTAAAAAAGAAAAAAAAAGACTTATCTTGAAATATTTGTAATTAAATTTTTTTTTTTTTTAGTTTTTCAAGATAGTGTTTCTCTGTGTAGCCTTGGCTGTCCTGGTCTACTCATTTTGTAGAGCAAGTTGGCCTTGAACTCACAGAGATCTGCCTGCCTCTGCCTCCCAGAGTGCAGGGATTATAGGCATGTGTCACCACACCCAGCTAAAAAGCTATATTTTTAAAGATTAAAAAAGTTTTGATTCAACTTTTAAAAACCTGTGTGCATGGTGTGAGTTCACACATGTACACACATATCTATCATGGCTTTAGAATGTATGGAATACCAATAAGTTGGTATTCCTTAAATAAAAGACAATATACTTAAAGATTCAGACAGTCCATTAAAATATATAAAAAGTACTACTTTTCACAAAATAGGTGCTGATTTAAATACTAACGTGCTTTCAAAATTTTTATGCAAAAGCAATTGCAAACTGTTTACTAAATAATTTTGGAAAGCTTAAAAATATCAGACAATTGACACAGAAAACAGTTAAGAGGTGATTACCGGAATGACTTCTGTAAGTACTTCCTGTTTGCTGAATCTATAAATGATGACATGAGCTGACACTCCAGCTATGCACAGCATTCTGCTCTCTGGGCACCAGGAGATGATCTGAATGGCGTATGGATCTTCATCTACAATGTCGGTGTTTGGTCTGTCATCTTTATTTCTTGACTTTTCAAATACTTTAGACGTTTTTAATTTATACAGTACTTGTAGAGTTACTAGAAAAAAATTATATTACAAATTTTAGCTGAAAACCAAAATCCCTTTCAGCCATTCCTCCCCCATCTCCACGCCTCTTTGACCGACTCCCTGCCAACCCATAAGTCTCTCTTTACCAAGGACTTACAACCTCCACACTGTGCTGCCACACCTGGCAAGAACCTAGAATGAGCAACAGCAAGCAAAGAATGGAACAATTACCCTGCAAAGACAAGAGTAGATATCACACCAAGAAACACTTAGTCATCACTCTAGATATCTAGATGCCAGTGTAAAATCACAGACATGAGTAACCAAATCAACATGCCTCCTTCAGCAGCCACTGTAACAGGCACCCAGAAAAGCAATTCAGCTGAAACATAACACACATTAACAATAGCAATTATGAAAATGTTCAAGAACGTCAAAGAGGAACTGGATAAGTGCTTTAGTGAAGATTGACAATCCAAACGGTTGAATGAAACAATGAAAACAATTCAAGCCAGGAAAGAATTTAACAAAGAAATAACAAAGCTAAAGAAAATGGAAACTGAAATAAAAGTCAGAAAGTCAAACAAAAACCTCGGCTATAGATTAGAAGACATGGAACAGAGAATTTCAGGTCTTGAAGATAAGGTAGGAGAATTGGATATTTCAATTAAAGAAAATATTAAATCTAAAAAAAAAAAATCCATGATAGAACATCCAGAAAATATAGACACCATGAAAAGACCCAATCTATGAATACTAGGATAGTGATAAAAGAATAAATCCAGGTCAAAGGCATAAAAATATTTTTTAACAGTTCATAGACGAAAATCTACTCAACCTAAAAGAAGAGATCACTATCAAAGTATGAGAAGCACAGAGAATACCAGATAGCAGGATCAGAAAAGAAATCCTCCATTACACATAATAATCAGAATGGTAAATATATAGGATATTAAAACCTCCAAAGGAGAAAGAGCAACATAAAGGCAGCATGTGGGAATAACACCCTGCTTCTCAATGGAGACTCTGAAAACCAGAAAGCTCTGAGGCTATAAGCTCTGAGACTACAGATGCCAGATTAGACTACCACACTTGCCAAAATACCGATCACAATTGATGAAGAAAGGAAAACATTTCATAATGAAAACAAACAGAAGCAGCTGCTGCCCATCAATCCAGCTCTACTGAAGGTACTATAAGAAAAACTTCAGTCTGAAGATAAGGTGAACTGTATCTAAGGGGACACAAGGATTGAACAATCCTAGGAACAGTTTATCAAGGAAGGGCAACAAACAAACACTGCTACAACCACAACAAAATAACAGGAACTTATACACACATCATTGATAACTCTCAATATTAATGGTCTCAGTTCCCCAATAAAAACACATAGACTAATAGACTTGTTTAGAAAGACATTGATACATTCAAGAAATACGTCTTACCATCAAAGATAGGTGTCACCTTTGGGTAAAAGGATAGAAAAAGTATTCCAAGAAACAATCTAGTATAGTATATACTAGCATATATACTAGTATATACCACCAAGCTAGTATAGCCATTTTCATATCTGAGAAAATGCGATTTCAAACCAAAAATAAGCAGAAGAGATGTGGAAGAGCACTACATATATATTAAAGGAGAAACTTATGCACCAAACACAAGGACACCCAAGTTCATAAACACTAATAGAGATTAAAAACCACATACTGATCCTCATACAGAGATACTTGGAGTAGGTAACTTCAATATCACATTCTTGCCAACAGACATATCATCCTCTTTATTGAGATAATGCTGGAACTAACTGATGTTATAAATCAAATGGATCTAACAGACATCTACAGAGCATTTTACTCACATACCAAACAATATACTTTATTTTTTTAGAAGCGTGTAGACATTTCTCAAAAATTGGTTATATACTAGGTTATATACTAGGACAGAAGAAAAGTCTTAACAGAGAAAACTGAACAGCACATGCCTCTTATCTGATTACCATAGATTACAGCTGGATAGTAACAAAAAAAGAAATGGTAGTAAGTACACACACTCGTGGATATTAAACAACCTACTACTAACTGAGAATTGAGTCAGGAAAGAAATCAAGTAGGAAATTTAGAATTGTAGAACTGAATAAATGAGAAAAACAACATAGCCAAAGTCATGAGAACAATGATCATGGTTCTAGGAAGCACACTCACAGCGATAAGATAGCACTAATGCTACACCAACAACCTGCACAAATCTCATGTTAATTGCGTATTATGGCACACTTGGAAGTTCTAAAAAAAATAAGAAGAAATAGTACTCCGGAAGAGTAGATGGCAAGAAATAATCAAACTAAGGGGAGAAATCAGTGAAACAGAAACAAACAAATCCAATACAAAGAATTAATGAAACAAAATCAACAAACTTTTAGCCAAATTAATCAAAAGACACAGAGAGAAGATCCAAATTAATAAAATTAGATATGAAAATGGAGTTTTACAGCAGAAACTGAAGAAATTTAGTCAATATGTTAAAAACCTGTATTCCATCAAACTTGAAAACCTAAAAGATTCAGATAAATTTCTAGATATATATGATCTACTAAAGTAAGAATAAAGTAAACGACTTAAACAGACCTACAATCCATAGCAAAACTGAAGCAGTAATTAAAAGACTCTCAACCAAAAAAAGCTTCGGGACAGATGGAGTCAGTGCAGGATTCTACCAACCTTCAGAGAGGAACTGATGCCACTACTCTTCAAATTCCATGAAAGAGAAACTGAGGAAATATTTCCTAGTTTGTTTTACAGAGCCAAGGTTATTCTCAAAGCAAAACCATGCTTTGTGCCTCTGCCTCTGGAGTGCTAGGATTAAAGGCACGTTCCACAATTGCCCAGTTTAAAATAATTTGGAATAAAAAAAAGAACTGCTAGAGGCATTATAATTATTCATTTCAAGCTGTATTACAGAGATATATAATAAAAACAGCATGGTATATTGGCATAAAAACAGATACATTGATCAAAGGAATAGGACTAAATACCTAGATATAAGTCCACACACCTAAGGTGATACCTGAGGTGTTAGAAAGAAGTCAATGATGCACACTGGAGAAAAGACAGCCTCTTTAACAAATAGAGCTGGTCAAAGTACATAGTTGGATGTAGAAGAATGAAAACAGAACCCTATCAATCACCCTAAATGAAACCCAACTACCACAGAGGTTAGGCAGCTATTCGGGGACCAGGAAGTTCTTCAACTTCCAAGAGGAAACATCACGGATCTACAAACCCTGTGACCTACAACAGTGACAACAGGGGACACTGGCGCAATAGTGGCACAAATAGTTTGAAAGCAAACGCCATTTTTTCAATTGGATTCGAGGCCTACTCTATGATATGGAACCCATATCTGACACTGCTAAAGTGGTCATGAACCTGAGACTAGCTAGCGGAAAACCAACTGCTACTGTCTGGTAAGGTAACAGGATGTATGTTGCTACACCCATACATCAGTGCACTACTCAACTCTATCAAAGAAGCTTCTTCTTGTAATAAATGGTAATAAACAAAATGACCCTCACCTGGACAATGTGCAGAGTGAAAGACGTTGGCCCTCAGCCCTAAATAGGATGCCTTTATCAAACTCCTCCTCTCAAGGCTGAAGGTACTAATATACATATGAACTCATAGTGACTGTGACACTATGTTTGCACAAGTTCAAACCACATGGACAAGGCAAGTGGACATAACCAACCCTAGTCAGGAAGCTATTTCCAACTGACCTGCTGGAAAAGAGAAACCCAATATTCTCTGAGAGGATGTCACTGGGTATAGTAATCCACACCCCAGGGCAGGCTCCAGGCCCAGAAGTATTTAGCCAATATAAAATAGACTCCACTGTGTGTGTGTTTTATGCTTTTTGTTTTGTTTTAGTATTGTTTTTGTCCTAGTGCTTTTTGCTTTGATTTCCTTATTTATTTTTGGGGGGTGAGGGACATGAAGTAGGAAGGGTTTGAGAGGTAGGGATAATATGTTTCTTCCTTTTCATGCTAGTATCTAATCATGAAGTCTTGTTCACAAAGACAATATAAACTTTTGTTATATCCCTTAGAATCAGACATAAACATTTTCTGATTTGAAATATGTTTTTGACTCCTAATGAAAATTCTGAAGACATTTTGAAAAGATTAGAACACTGTTAAGAATCATTACTTAGCCTAGTAATAACATTAAAATATCTTTACTCTTCAAAATTCTAAACTCATATATTGGATAAGCTAATAAATTAAGCTGATAACCTAGTACTTTCAGATCTAGTGTGGCTTATATGATATTTAAAACCTCGTGTATAAGGGCAATGCAGTGAAACATGCAAACAGTTAACTCTTCAAAGCGCTTACTTGCAGAGGCATCCCAGAACTTAACTGATCCATCAGCATGCCTAGGACAAACAACAAAGAGAATGTGACTAAAGAGGAAAAAAAAAAGTTATATTGTTACTTTTTAGCAAACTAATTCACAAAGATGAGAAAAAGATAAAAATCACTGTAAATCAGTGAATTCTTGCTGATAATTTCATTATGTTGTAACACAAAGGAAAGCTTTACTTAACAAGTGACTTAAAATTCAAACTGTCATAAACATATTACCTATTACTGATTTAATTGGTAAAAAAAATACATGTACTTACCCTGTAATAATTATTTCTGGGTAACTTTGAGCACCCAAGCCCCAATTACCTCCATTGATGGGCCATTCCTATGAAAAAATCATTGAAAATTGACTTACAAATATACATATTTTATGTAGCAGATAAGTAGTATACAAAGTGTAGGTATACTGACAGGTATGACGACAGTGCATATAATTTACTTCTCAAAAATGATTTCCTAAAAGGTTAATAATGTTACCAAAACCAAAAGGTGACAAATTTAAAATAATAACATGCTGCAGTAAACAGTGAAACTCAGGTTTGGTACCTTTTTGCTGTAACCTTGACGTTTCTGTCTAGCTCCAACAGAATAAAGTGCAGGAATGAGGTCCACAGGACAATCGGCAAAATATTCACAACATGTAACAGGGGACTCGTGTATACTCAAAGGGTAGGGATTCTCAAATATAGGGTATCTTTAACAATAGGAAAAAGAAAAACACATTAACACACTGTCCCCTGTGATTAACACAACCATGACAACATTACTATACATTCTACTAAGATAACACTGATTTAAATTATGTAAATATGTAAAAACATCAGAGTTTTATTACAGAAGATGGTCTTTATCCACCAACCGACAGAAAGGCTGTGGCTGCAGCTATGTGCCACTGCCACACACAAGACTGTGTGTAACATACACATTTGTCTCATGTGCTCCGTGCACCTAATTTATGATACACATTTTCCTGAAAAACAAAGGCTTTGAGTAATCTATCAGAAGCATGTCAGCTAGCAAGGAGCTGAAACAGACCTTAAACTGCTATGACTCACTGAACTTCCTGCATTTCAGTATCAAATCATCCTGCTGCTGGTACAGCTAATATAAATTTAATTTCTTTTTTTTCTTGCATCAATGTAAAAGCTCATCCAATATTAACCCCAGATATCTGTTTTGTGAGATGGTTACACAGACGTAACTTGACTGACCTGAGAGAGAATCCAGCAGAGCACATCTCTGTCTCTCTCTGAGGCTTTTCCAGGGGTCACTCATCAAAAGTGGAGACTTACTGTGATGGTCAGTGCCACCTCACAAGGTTGGTGCCCTACCAGGTGGAATAAAGGAAAAGGGGACCTGCTGCTTCCGGCACACTTCCCTGCTCTCTGGCTGCTGTAAGGATGTGAGCCTAACAACTCTGCTTTATGACTTTCTTTCTACAAAGACAAGCTACTGCTCAGTCTAAGACTACATCAATGGATGGAACCCTCTCAAACAATGAGCAAAAGAAATATTTCTTTCTCAAACATTTTCTGTCAGGCATGTTGCACTGGCAAATACATTTTAGCTCAGCAATAATCTTGACTGTGATTTTATGTTTGTGTGTTTTACGTATGTAGTCAGACATGCTACTCAAGTCATGAGGTTCCCTGTTTTCTAGCTATATAATTAATTAATCAAGATAAGCAAAAACGCTTTGAAATCGTGGAATTAAAATGAAGTTCTATCTAACAAAAAGCAATGTGCTTAAAACAAAAAAAAAAACACAATAATGTTGCTTAGAACAAGACTATTTGCTTTAAAATATCTGAAAAAAAGAGACTAGCTGAGATGCTTAAAAAGGACATAATGGGTATTCTGTATATATTAGATTTATTAATTTGTCTACTGCTAATAATACTAAAAAATAAGTGCTATTTCAGGGGAAAAAAGCTGTATAAACTGCAAGGTGAGTCCAGTCATCCCTACCTGTACCCACAATCTAAAGACAAAACACACACAAAAAAAGAGTAGGAATAAAAATTAACTTTCTTCTCTTCATAACAAATCTTTTCCTCAGCTATAAGGATCTAGTATTTCATGTATTTAATTGACAGTTCTGCAGAAATAAAATATCTTATCCAGTTGATTCAAATAGTATTTTTCTTGACTTAATTGTATCTAGTACTGATCACATATAATAAATTCTATTATTAAAACAGCCTACGTAACAAAAGAAAAATACATTAATAACAATTTTCTAGGACTGTCATACAGTTATATAACTGGTCTGTTAAATGGTCTGTTATTAAAAAAAACTTACAAATAAGTACTACAAGTAACAGACATTAAGCTGAAATGTACTCAGTCTTGAAAAACAACCAGGTAAACAGCAGCACTCAAATACATTACGTTTCTCAAGCTTAGTACTGCTCGCACTTAGAGAAGCCTTTACATGGAAACTGGTCTGGTGCATTGTGGATGTCTGAAGTAATTTGTCTTTTGTCCACTAGATGCCAGTAACATTCTACCTAATAAAATATCTATACAGACAGTGTCAAACAGTCCCTGGGGGTAAAATCCCTTTACTCAAGGCTGACTGTGAATGAGTAATCTCAAAGGAAGCTCTGCTTGATGATTATTTTGGGAGAGAAAATAACTCATACCATAGTTCTACTCACAGCAGAGAGAGTACCCTGATACCAAGTAATAAACGTAGCAAACACCAGAAGTTGCTCAACAAGCTGAGATGGGCTAGGGGATGCACAGTTCAGATGTGTCTGTGAACAGTCTAGAAAAGCCCACTAAGCACATGGCGAATACTGTGTGGACTCTGTGACAGTCAAACAAGTGGAGGGGTCCAGCTGCCACAACACTGCATAAAGAAAGACATGAAGTATGGGGTCTGTTAAACATCGAGCTGCTACACCACAAACTCAGGCCACTGTGGGAAGATAGCAGCAGAGCAGGGTAGAAATAATACCCACAATCCTTTAGAATAGCAGGTGGAGTAGTTAAAACAACAATAGTAAAGTGGTTGAATTAGCGTAATAAGGAGCAGGATATTGGTTATAATTAATCTGACAGGGGTCTGAACAATACATCACAACAGAATGGAGAGAGGGAGCACAGCTAAAATGTTCAGAGGTAAATGGACACTGTCCATTTTGGACAGGCATTGTATATGGCTTTAGCATGTACAACCATGGAGCCGAAATGAAAGAAATTCAAGGAACTTTGAGTTAAGTGACAGAAATGTTAACTCACTGAACAGGAGAAGTTGAGCCTTCACCCCATGTGCTAGTGTCTTTGGTACAGGAAGGTGCTCTGCATGCTACCAGTGGAGAAACAACACCAACCCAGCCACAAACCCTGTGATCTACAATGGGGTCCTGCCTGCAAGATATGCTAGGGCACAAAGTTTGTGAGAATAACCAACAAATATCTGATTTGACTGAAGGCTCACTTCATAAAAAAGGACCCACACCTGACACTGCTTCTTGAGTGACCAAGACCTAAGGTAAAACCAAATAATACTGGTCTTAAAAAAAAGTACATACAAAAAGGAAGCAATAAAGTGACTCCTACACTCATACACCAGTGCTTTGCTCAGTCATCAGGTAAACTTCCTCTTTCAGAAGATGGGAACAAATACAGAGACCCACAGGCAGACGCTATGTGGAGAAGGAGAGACCTTCGTCCTAAATGGGATGTCTCTATCAAATCCCTCCCCTCAGGTCTCAGGGAATGCCATGGAAGAGGACTCCGAAGGACTCAGAGCCATAGGATGGAGGGACACCATGGAAACAAGGCCTTCAAATCAACACACATATAAACTCACAGTAACTGAGGCAACATGCACAGGGCCTGCACAGGTCTACACAGATGAGATCACAGAGCTGAAAGGAGAAGTGGACAAAGACCCTGTCCCTAACCCAGAAGCTACCTCCAATTGATTACTACCTGTAAATGAGTACATGGCCACAGAAAACAACTTTATTATTTTCTTATTAATTAAATAATTTCTCTTTTTAACCTACAGGTCCTCTGTGTATATTATGGCTTTCAGCTTAGTGCTTTTATGGAGCCCTGAGTGTGCAAACAGTAAGTCACTTTTTACCCTATAGGTCCTCTGTGTGTATTATGGCTTTCAGATTAGCGTTTTGAGGGAGCCCTGAATGTGCAAACGGTGGGTCTCAGCTTCTTGTACCTTGTCTTGGGTTCTTATCCTTTTGTTTGTTTTGTTTTATCTTATTACATTTTATTATTATCCCTTAGAAGACTCTTTCTTTACTAATAAGAGACAGAAATGGGCAGATCCAGATGGAGGGAAGGTAGGGAAGTAAAAGCAGAGAGAGAGGGAAAACTGTAATCGTGATATATTAAATGAGGGGGAAAAATAATAAAAAAGAAAACCTATGAGCTTCACTATTATCAATGCATTTCAGAGTACTGGAAAAGTGGACCTGGAGCATTAAAAAGAGATCATGGATACAAATGTAAAGTTTTCAGAGGCATGTAATAACTAGAACCACACTAAAAGAGATCTCGTACATAGAAATGGAGTTGCCCACCCAGAGTCCTTACCCATTCTGTGCAAGGTCTATCAGCACTAAATCCTTTTCCAGGAGAACCACCACAGCATACGGTTCCTGAAAATCTGGAACATGAGAACACTGCATGAAGAGTTGCTTTACAGACTCAAGATAATGGACATCCCCTATTCCCTTTCGTCATTCCACTTTCTTGTTTGGCATTCTGATGAGAAGGCCAGGACAGTTCATATAATTTGCATTCTTGGATGAGATAATGTACAAAATAATCCATTCAAAATTCTTACATATTTATTAAAAAGAGCAAGACAAGAACCACAAAGAAACTTTTGTGATATTACATATTTTAGGGATTGGCAAAGACATCAAAGCCATAATTTAATCCTGACTGATTATCATCATGGAATCTCAGAATAAATTGATAGAGTTCTCTTATTTTTTGTCATGTTAATACATGCCTGTTAGTAACTACAAATGCAATACATCTTTAAATGTCAAAGAGATCCAAGTGGAGAGAAAAGATAAACATTTAAGTTTAATCTCTGTGTTAACTTGTCTCTGATACAATGCCCTTAAGTGCCTTAGCAGGATCAGTCTAGATGCTGTCCCGAAGGAATCTTTCAGAAATGAGTAACAATCAAGTTGGTAAACTAAACAAAGCAGCTATTCTTTGAATGGCTGGCCCTAAGCTTATCAGATGAAGAAGGCCTTCAGGATACAAAGACAACTCTTCTGACAAAGACAGAATTCTCTATGAGGTTTAAACCCAGGACTGGTTCCTGAGATTCCCCCATGTAGATTTCAGAACCATTACTTGAGCTCATTTTGGACTTTTTAGACTGTTAATCCTGTAATCCTTTATATACATACATACCTATACTGGCTCTGCTTCTCCGGAGAAATTTAGATAAGCGGATATACTGCTGTTTTACAGAATTTCAATAACTCAATATGGGGAGTGTCTGTCTTTGAAAGGTAGTTAATATTAATGTACAATACAGAAGAGATAAAATATACTGAAAAACAAAATAAAACAAAAATCAAACAGCAGCTGAAATAAAATCAGCCTCTTCTGAAGGCAGAAACTCTTCCCCTGAAGCACTACTGAATGAACTACTGAAGATGGCGTATGTCTGTTTTGAATAGTAATGTTTACGGAGAGCGAGCCTTACCGTTTGGGTATGGTGTTTCACAAAGTGTGAGAAAGTCAACAATTGAATAGTCCATTTCCAGCACTGCTGTGCTTTTCCCATGCATCACTGTTAAACATGGTCTTCTTCCCACAGTATCATATGACAAGCCTCCTGACAAAATAATGAAAGGTTCCCTGGAAATAAAAACATAGTATGATTACAAATATTAGACACTATTTTTTTCTGCTGTACTGTATGGCTATTTAGTGACAGTATCCTCTAAAAATTTACATATCACATTATAGAAGAATTGTGTGTGGAATTTTTATTTTTATTTCTTTTAAAATATTCTTATTTTTTCTTTTTATTTATTACTATTTTCATCTTATTACTATTTATTTATTACTATTTTTTCATTTATTACTATTTATTCACTTTGTATCCCAGCTGTAGACCCCTCCGTCTTCTCCTCCCAATTCCAGCCTCCCTCCCTCTTCTCCCCGTATGCCCCTCCCCTAACTCACTGATAGGGGAGGTCCTCTTCCCCTTCTACTTGACCCTAGCCTATCAAGTTTCATCAGGACTGGCTGCATTGTCTTCTTCTGTGGCCTGGCAAGGCTGCTCCCCCCAGGGGTAGGCGATCAGAGGGCCTGTCACTGAGTTCATGTCAGAGACAGCCCCTGTTCCCCTTACTAAGGACCCACTTGGAGAAGGAACTGCCATGGCCTACACCTGAGTTTCTGTTTGTTTGTTTGTTTTTTGTTCTGTTGGTGTCCTTGTGGAGCTCCTGTCCCTTCCAGGTCTTTCTATGTATGTGGAATTTTTAATTTTTCAGCAAGCAAAGATAGTTTGCTGAAAATTAAACTACAATAAAAATGAGTCACATTTGACTCTTAGACCTCTTCTTGGTCCTTATTTTATTTTTATTTTACTTCCTGTGGAGAATCAACATAAAAGTTTCTGAGTGGCTTCTACTTTAGTCCTAACAAGGCTCCTCAACAAACATTTCCAAGAAAAACCTCACAGCTTCAAATAGCTATGGATAGCTATGGTTTGTAACACACTGACATTTTAAGGATATACCAAGAACTGTACTAGGTATAAACCACTTGTGACAACTGGGAAAGAGTCACTCAAAAATTTTTCCACAGGCCTTAGTGTTTTACAAGAAATCTCCTAGATAAACTCTGAGGTCTTAGCTTTCATCACACACCCTATGAGCTTCCAGCTTGCCTTTTTAATCCTTATGTTTCCAGTAAACAACACTACATCTTCCCTTGCTCCCCATATTCATCATGATGAAAACTATATGATTTATCTAGACATATGTTTTAAAAGCTGCTCCTAACTATACTATCATATATCACAGTATGGGTATCGTTCTTTGTATGAAGTTATTTAACATGTGGCATGCAAATCATTAAAAATTATCTATATTTATTTTCAATCTCTTCATTTAAAGTTTAAACATTCTTTTCTAAAAGATTTTATTTTATTTTCAATTAAAGGTATAAACGTGGGAATGTGCACATTAGTGCAGGTGCTGGAGGTGGCCAGAGAAGATGTCTGGGTTTGCTGGAGCTGGCGTGACAGGAAGTTGTGAGCTTCCTCACGTGGGTGATGGGTATGCTCTCTTAACTGTTAAACTGCATCTCCATCCCTAATTTATGGTTTAGTTTTAAAGAAAAACAAATGTTTACATTAAGGCCAATATATTTATTTTTCATGATATCCTCCTATTTTTTTCATATCTGTGGAACATTTCAGTCTCCAAATTCAGCAGAAGTGGCATGCGAAGGCATCAATGGCGACAAGGCCAGATCTTGGTGTTCAAGTACCAACATTCCCATCTTTGCTCTGATTTCCTGTGAGCTGGATTCCACATCCAGGAAATGGAGACATACAGAAGTACCTGATCCTCAGACCATGTTGTAACCAAGCAGTGCCTGGTCCACAGACCACCCTAAGTAAGAGTTACCCATTATAACTGTTGATGGCATCAAATCATCACAATTGCACATGGTTAAACTTCCCTATGGAGCATGCACCAAAATACACACATAAATTAATACATAATACAAAAGTGAAAATTAAAAATTCAAATTATTTTATATAGAACGTGAATAAATTTCACTAAGGTTTAGTTAATTAGATTTGGAGCTAGATAACTTGTAAGTAAATATAGTATTGGGGCAAATAATGAAATTTTTTTCTTACTTGGACATCTTATTTAGACTATAGAAAATGTGGGAGAATAAAAAGTATATATGTTTCTATATGTAATAATTTTGTGCAGATACACCATCATGCATCCTACATTTCTCATTTGCTTTATTTTCTACAGTATATATGATTAAAAACTAATTTATTTTGCCATTGTTTGTCTCATCAAAATATAATTTCCGTGAAGCCTTTTTTTTTTTAAATCTATGTTGTTCATTGCTCTATGTAAAACAGTGCCCATCATACTAGGAAGTTATACTATGTTTCAAGTGAATTAACAAAATATATGTTTCATTAAAAACTTTTACCTATTTATATTCATCATTAATGTGATTTAGTATTATTTTTCTGGTCACACTCCAAAAATCAAATTTCGAATTTCAAAAATTTAGCCTAGTAAAATCACACTCCTACAGCTAAACTCTAATCATTATATATTATAAACGCAGTGAGCAGATATTATTTAATTTTCCTGTACTCATCACATACAATGAATAAAAACTTTCTACTTTGCCTTTACTATAACATACAACTCAATCTAAAAAGAGCTTACTGGCGAGTAAACATCTGTTAAATATTTATAGAGTAGGATCCCTGGGTAGTGTTTTTGAGTGGTATTTCAAGAATTGTTTTAAGTATTTTTTATTTAAATACAACCAATTTAAAGCAAACAATGATGCCAGCACCAGAGTTTGAGCAGATAACAGCAGGGCAACACTACCATGTCCAAACCCATCCCTGAAGATAAGTTTAGCTAAATGATCAGTTCACACAGTCTTAACTAACACTATGGCAATCAGTCGGGATTATCCTCATAAGACAATCTTTTTGTTCTGTGGCTTTGCAAAATCGGTTTCTTTTCTTAAAGTAGAAGGGAAATGATGTGAAGTTAAACAAAGAGTTTGAAAGGAATGCCAAATGATTAGTCACCAAGTAGTTTTCTATTTCATAGTAAGTTTGCTAAACCTAAAGACAATAATGCCTTTTCATATGCTGCAAGATGTTTCTCTACCTTTAGTTGGGCTACCTGGAAACATGCACCTAAAAAAACATGTGAAACTCCAATTAAGTTCATTATACCCAAAGCTTAGCAGAAGATATTAGCCCTCTCCTGGAATAAAGTAGTCATGTACGATGTTAGATTTCAAGGAGTTAACTCAACATAGCAAAAATTGTAAACTTTCAAAGCTGTATACCTGACATCTGGACTTCTACAAGGTGCTAGTGATTATTTTTAGGCAATCTATGAATTATGGAAGTGAGGATTTGATCTTTTTTCAACAAAAAGACTAGCTGTTCTGATGTTATGAGTTCTAGACGTGACTTAATGTTATTCTATAACTTTGAGGGGAATGGTCGTATGATCTCTGCTAATAGCACTGGATGTCAACCAGACCCTCCTTTGGAAGATACCTAAGTCAGGGAGGTGTTCCTTTGCAAGTTTCCTAGTTTGACTGGCTTTATTTAAGACTAAGCACATCATTCAGCACATGCTCTCTTCACCTTATGAACCTCTCCCCCCAGGCAGGGGACAGCTTCAGGTCATACTGTGCTCTCATAAAAATCTTTCCCCACTAAAAGAACCAACCTTTTCTATCCAGAAAGCTACACATAGTGATTTACCCAATACAGTTCCATGATTACATCTATTCTCTGACTCAAACATTTTAAACTATTTGTGCTTTGGGGAACAAACAAGGGCTCTAACAGCTAGTCTAGCCACACAGATAACTTACTGGGGCACATACTATGAAGAAATGAGTAACTGGTTGCAATAGTAAGGCCAAGCCACTAACGTGATGACAGATGAAGTGACACCAGAATGAAGAGAAGCTAGCTGCTCTGCGTACTCCATTAGTGGGGTGAATTTCTGTCCATCAGAAATAACTAATGCTGGGAACAAGTATCAGAGGTTAAGAACACTGGCTACTCTTCCAGGGAACCTGGGTTCAGTTCTTTCCACCCACATGGCAACTTAAAACCATCAGTTATTTCAGTTCCGGGAGACCCAGCACTTTCTAGCCTCTGCAGACAAGCATGCACATAAGCATGCATACTTACACACACACAGAAAACACTCACACACAAATACAAACAAAAATAACTAAGTATTGCAAAGACCCTAAGTCAGGAAGCACCTTTGTCTGAGGAAATAAAGCACCCAACAACATTCAAGGTGTTCATGATAATAGCTTTGAATCCTGAAAACATGCTGTGTACTCCACTAGGGTCTATGGAATTAGCCACCACCTTTCCAAATCACAATTCCTTCATTTGTAGCCTCTATATAATACTTAGAAAGTTATTCACTTTTCTTTTTTCTTTCTTTTTTTTTTTTTTAAATTTATTTATACACTATCTGGCCTGCATGTGTGCCCACAGGCCAGAAGAGGGCACCAGATCACATTACAGATGGGTATGAACCACCATGTGGTTGCTAAGAACTGAACTTCTTGTGCCCTCCCTGCTCCACTGCCTTATCCTCTTTCTTATTTGGATGATCCTACTTCCCCTTTGCACTTTGAAGCTGCTGTCTCATGTGCAAAACCAGCATTTGGAAACTGGATTTAAAGGGCCCTGAGCTGAGAAGGAGTCATTCTTTCCAATATTCAAGCAGCATCTGATCCATGTTAGTACTGGTTAAACGTATAGTTTAATAAGTGTCCATTTTGAAAAAAAACTGTAAGCAATATAATTTTCCAAATGGGTTTGCATATTAATAGAGTTAATATGTGATAATAAATTTAACAGTAATAAAGAAAAAAAAACAGATAACGAGGTAGGATTCAAAGTGTGTGGTGAGCGGTATATACTCACTTATATAGACCTATAAGATATGACAAACATAATGAAATCTATACACCTAAAAAAGATTATCAAGAGAGCGGACATGGGGTAAGATGATCAATCCTCGTTTAGAAAGACAGATGGGATGTGCACTGAACGTATGACAGGAGTCTACTGAGCGCAT